TGTAGCGAATTGCTGCTGTTCGGTATGGTGAATACACGAATGCACATCTAATAGTGGACCGTTCCATCAACTATCTCGTGTGAGTGCAGAAATTCTGCAGACTCGTTCCAAATGATACATTTTGTTGCACAAATGACAATTTATCGATACCCGGACCGCTATTCGTACTAAACAACTTCCCTCGATCGGGCACCGTCTTCTGGAATTATAACAGTAGTATGATCCTGGAATCGAGTCTTCGGTAGGTAGCATATATCGATCCCCTAGGACTCCATTGTACACGCAAGACACGCTTGTTGACCCACCTGCACGAGTCATAAAGTTGAAGGTGCTCACAGCGATTTACGAGACTTTAGAATCTGCTATCTACTTTGTAGTGAGCTACTTACCGCGCTACTTGGCAAAGCACTTTGGCAAGTGACGAACAAGTTCTCTAAGGGGAATGTAACGGGTCGGAAGAAGGGTTAAACGGATAGGGTTAGGTACGGAAGAAAAAGAGTTAAACAAAGGTTGGTATGTCGGGTCAGTAGCCTACTTATCACTATCCACTCCGCTCGACGCAATGGGAAGCGCGGTCCTGGTTATCCTGCGCGACGACCGATGCAATATGAAATTATTGTTAGTTTGTGTTCATTGGGGTTTGATGAACAGGTATTTCTAGGGTGTCCATTCACTAAGCCGGAGAACGATCAGGGGTCTCAACCGAAGCCTTTAGTTCTGACAATAACCTAACCGCAAGGCAATGAGTGAAACGAAGTGGAAGTCCAGTTACTGGGATCGATGACATGGTTGCATGGTTCGGACTTAACCTTAAAAAGATTCATGGCACGAATCAACTAGTGGAGATGACGGTTTGCATACCTTCTGATAAGCCACTGACTCCCGTGTGTCTTCCAAAATTTGTTCCACATCACTGAGAGACATAAGCTGGTGCAACTCCTTCAAAGCTTGATTGCCTGCTTTGAGACCATTGACGACTTGTAATTGAACCTGGGCGAATTCAACATCATTAATCAACTGCTGAACGTTCGCCATTTGCTGGTTGGCCTGTTCCATAAACTTTTCCAAACATCGTTTCTTTTTCAACAACAACAATGCTTTACTGAAAAGGGAGGAATGGCAATGTGTACGGATAAATATAAAAAGACAGCAAGTAAAAATGATTGAAGATTATGAAGAGGCAGACATAAAATAAAAGGATCTTCTCAGAATCAAATGCAACGGCACGTTTCACTGGAAAGTCAGTGAAATACGATACCTGTTCTTGAATCATCACAGAAGTCAATATAACAGGCGTTTCGGTGGTGGGAGCGGACTTAGACAAAGTTCAGGACAAGAATATCTTTTCTGGACAAGTTGCAAAACATGGGAGGCCTAAACCTATAAAATGAGGCAAAGTGAATAAGTATTCATAAGAACTTGCGACGAGGCTGCACCTTAGGGTGATGGTGAGTTACTCGCATCAGACTCCACACTTTGAAGTCGTCCAGATTCTGCGATGGACGAGGCTTTATAATCTGCAATCTATTTCGATATATATTATTACATTGCTACCGGTCAACGATCTTTGGCGAGCGACATCCAATTTGCTTGAGGGACTATTGCAGGTCGGAGGAAGGAGCAAAGGATTAGGCCTGGGTACGGAAGAAAAAGAGTTAAACAAAGGTTGGTATGTCGGGTCAGTAGCCTACTTATCACTATCCACTCC